CGCCCATTTTGATACAAGAGCCGGATGAAGTATGGAATGTTGAAAGTAAATTCAAGCGGAAGATAGAGAATTCACATAAACTGGTGTTAGGAAAATATTGAAAGGATGCATGAGCGCCTCCGTTTGCGACATCCAGCCATATCACTCAGCGACCCTAACCATCGGTGACCATCATCTCGGGGTCCCCAGCCAGGGAACCTAACGGCACTCATGTGACCCAGTTTCCTGGTTAGGGTTTTCATACCCTCGTGTAGTGGCATACACTCGACCCTTCTCAGACAACCGGATGTCTCGAAGGCGCCACAGATTTCTCAGGTTGGCAAATGCCAACCGAGGCCTTTGTATGCGCACCGCCACTTCATCTGTGATGTGTATGTCAGGTAGAATACAGCTCCCCAGATAGTAAACCGTCTCTACTTCATCAATTACTTACCCAGTTACAGTGAGCCTAGGTGCTGGACCAATCCAATCTTGTAGAAACGTTTTACACTTTGAAGGATTCACACCATTCAGTTGGAACCTGTTCTCTTTACCATACTGAGACAAGATTTTGGTGAACTCCAAAACCAAGACTGAACCTTCATCCTTAAAAGCCGATGGGAGCAGCCTGTTGGGGCCTGAGGCCTTATACCTTTTGAAATAATTCATTTATCGGCTAACCTTCATTTCAAATATAGGGCTAATGTCAACTGGCAGTTGAAGCGGGTAGGGGGAAGTCTTGTATCGAAGAGGACCAGCTGAACTGTGCGCTAAAATGTTCTGCCCAACGTTCAAGACGGCGTTGCTGAATATGTGTGTGTCAGTGTGTCATCATCAGTGTGTCATCGCACTTCTTAATTACTTCACTTATGCCTACTTCCCTTAGTCCTGTACTCTTAATTAAAAGAAGAGTATTGCTACTATTACCGATAGTCGCAGCTTTCTCCATCTTTCTACACTTCTCGCGGCCATTCCTCATACTTTTGATGAACTGGCGTTTAAGGGAATTGCGCGCTTTGTCGTATTTTCAATCCGAAGGAGTGGCTTTGAGAGCGTACAGCAGGGCAAACGAGGTCGGGGAGAACCATCGTTTTTTATTTGATCCTGCGCCGGAATTTGCCATTGTTTTGATCGACGTTTGGATCGTTTCCTTGATTGTCGTCCAATGTTCACTGAGTCCTCCGGCTGATGGTTGAGCTGAGAGGCGATCTGATAGTTCCGCTTCGAAGGGCGATTTGCAACCTTTGCTAATACTATATTGTGGGCATCCGTTTTCGGTGGCTTTTCGGCGGTTGTTTACTAGTGTAGGGAAAATCTGGCTAGTAGCAGAGCATAGCTTGTGTCTACGGGTGTTGACAAGTAGGAGTAGTAGTCATCAATGGATTCACTCCAACTGTGGTTAATAGCGATGTGGTCAACATGTGAACCAACAATTAGCCTTTTTGATTCGTCCAGAGATCCCAATTGAGCACTGAAGTCTCCAGCAACTACCACGAAGTCCTTCGATCGAGCACTTTGGAGCATTTGAGAGAGGTCCTTGTAGAATTGACCCTTCGTTTCTGGCGAACTGTAATCAGTCAGTACATACACGGATCCGATGAATAAGCTTCAAAGCTTCGTTCTGTAGCTGGTCACCCGTACTGAATCATCCAGACGTACAGCGCAAACTCGGCTACTAACCGGGATCCAGTCGGGAAGTGAACGCTCGGCCTTGACACTCAGCGGAATTCCGACACCAGCAGCACCGCGAACTTCGGATGCCGAATCGCCTCACTTACGGAAATTGAAGCGTGGCGATGAGGCTGGGTCGGGATAATGCAGGGAGATGATTGAACTAGGGTCTTGTATGCGTGTTTCGGAGACAGCATACATCTAAATGGAAGCTTTTTAGGGTTCTAAGGCAGCTTATTGACCGATCTGGTAGAGTGTATGGATATTAAATGCGACTAAATGAAAGAGATGTTTTGGTTTTAAAAATCTGATTTATTCTGAGTGGTAGACCTCATTAGTTGAACGCTGAATGATATACCATGGGTGGAGCACACCGGAAGTATCTCCTGAGGTTTGGGAGTGATAAGATGAAGTAGACAGATGAGAAAGATGACTTTACAATTGGGTGCCGAAGACTTTTGGGCACGGAATACTTCGTGACAGCCCACACCGACGAAGGGGTTTTTCTTTGGGAACCCTAACTGGAGCCTTTGACTCAAAAGTCTGACCCGCAAGGCAGCGGGGCTTAGTTCAAATGCGGGAGTGTGAACGAAGCACCCGTGTGGGAACTTCTGGAGACCTATCACGCAAGACCTTTGAATTTCGTTTGGTTTTTGTTCGCTGATGCTTGGGTTGACGGTCCACTTTTTGGGATCGACTCTGAGCTTCATAGATCCAGTGAGACAAGAAGAACGTGGACGGGACAGCACTTTATTGGCTGTGGTCTGCCCAGCTTGGGCGGGAGGTAGCTGTTCAGTGAAATGCGAAGACTTCTCCCACCGTCAGGAGGAAACCCCGGGTAACCCACTGCCACGTCCATCTAGAGGAGGTTTCCGACCGATAAACAGCCCCTCCCCGTGCTTATTTGCTAGAGTGACCTCTCCAGAGGCTGGAGTGGATAGTCAAAGGAAGCCAGGTGCCCAAGTAGCTGGCCTCGTGAGACTGATCTTTTTCTGGTCTTCAGCCATTGACCTTTTAGGTATGATTGGATCTACTGCTGTGAGGAGCCATCCTGTATAGCCTTCAGAGTCATGGAGGCATGCAGGCCATCACAAGTTCAGTCAAGGTGCAGTTTCGTCGTGATGAAATAATATTACAAGATAATAATACGTCTTCAATGTGACGATCAAATTACCCTTCGTTGTTCTGGATTAGAGAAAAAATCTACTGTGCTGAACCCTCTTCATTGCCAAGTTGGTAAGCAGGTTAAGGATTCTTTGCACACTATTATTGAACATTTTCCGAATGATATGGATCGGCACTCTAAATTTGGTCAGGAAAATGTTTGTGGAACAATCATCCATAGCCAGGACGAAGTGAAGTGTAAATACGAAGCGGTCCTCTGATGCCCAATTATAGACTGTAGAAAAAGAACCATTTATAATTTTCCTGGATTTAGCGTGAACTGATATGACATCTTCAAAATGAAAATATCTGCTCGTATTTCCACATATAGAAACAATGTTACTCCATAACTTGCTCCGCTGCTAGTTGATCGTCTCTCTTCCAATAATTGTTTTTGGTCATATTATCGCATTATCGCACTGCACCAGTTCGTAAATTGCTGAAAATTCACCCCTGGGATGCATAATGCTTTTTTTTAGTTGAATTTGGAGTTTCTTCCTTCTTAATCTATAATTACGTAAAATCAGAACAAAGATTTGAAATGTTAAGTTGCCGTCTAGAAAAACATTGAAATGCTATCATACAACTTAAAAAAGCTATTTGTTCTATGTTCTAGTTTTCCAATTGTTTTTTAATGAACTACCTGAGTCAGCTATCATAAATGCTGTTTGACTATTCTATTTTCACATGTTGTATGAAACACGCAGTTGCAACCTACCTCGTTTTTGGCTATGCCTTCATAAAGATTTATGTAGTAACCAGGAGATAAATCAACGAAGATGGCATTTTCTCTTCTGTGTTTCTCCTAACACCAATTTTTGAACAAAAAACATGTCACAGTATTTTAAACTTTCGCTTACTCTTCAAAATTACTGACATAAAACAAACTGGTACATATATGGCACATTGGGTTTCTATGTATATACCTATTTGTTTTACGTCAGTGACTGATTGAATAAAATGTTGACATCTTGAAACCTCTTTTCCTTCGGTTTTGAAACAATGAATAAGGGGAACTAGTGTCTCGAATAAACAAAACATTATGTGATTTTTTGTATTCCAGCGTTGTCACTTCTAATATTTTGACGATTAGCGTGCATCGCTCAACAAATGGATATATCGAGACCGAGTCAGAGAAGGGTTTCTCATGTATAAATTGATCTATGGGTGGATTTATCCCCTTATGTTGCTTTGTCAGTGGTAATATCTGGTGTAACTACCATTGTCAATTTTCAAACGAAACCACAAATAAGAAATAATTTCAGTCGATTAATAAATAAAACACATCAGATCGTTCAATTCACAATATGTCTTTAGACAGCAGATGTTCTCAGTCACATAGGGCGCAGTTATCTTAAACACCGTTTCAAGTACCGAAGAGCACTCGGTCTATTGGACACCGCGTTTTAACCATCTCCCATAACATAAACTAATTTTCTTGCAAGACATTTTAGTCAGTCATTTTGAAGTGAGCATCTGACTCTTGGAATGTTTACACCTCAACCTTGACCACTAAACGTTTCTTCCGTGTTTAAAAACATGACTTAGTGTCCAGCAGGGAATAACCAGTATTTTAGAGTTGTCTCCACCGAACCCACTTCCTTTTACGAACATTTGGTGGCCCATTTTAATTATGTCAATTCTAAATCACGTAGAAATTGAGGCCTTGAACTCAAGTGGGTCAAAGTCAGTCGTTCAGAGAGAATTGAAAATGATGGGCAATAGATTGCAAATAACAATGGTTACCAAATGTTTCACTGAACCCGTAAGGTTTGTTGTTTGTTGTTGTTTTTACCAATAATCCAGTTTCTCATAACAACACAACACTAGATGTCAAATCGCGCATCTAGCCTATCCCATGGCAACGGCCATTGAACAAAACGAATCGACCGGAACCGGCACGATCCCGGTAAATCTCCTATATCTGACCTCAGTGTTTCTCTTACTTGTTCTGATTTGCATGCTACATCAGCCTTTCTGTCACCAGGAACTGTAAACTGGTGGTCACCTGTGATACTTTCGTTGAATATGAAAGATTATCTCATTACATGTTATTCTTGTCGTGTTGAGGGACCTTGCACTTCCAGTAGCCTGTTGATGCAATAAAAACAGTCGGGTCCACAAGAAAACTCAACAGGTAACTCATTATTATTTACATCCAAACCTGTTTAGTGTCACTTGCTTACCTCGAACGAGACCACGACTCTCAAAACCGGAAACAACTTGAGCCAAAATATAGGGTTCCAAGAAGCAACCGGAATCGCTAAATCGTGTCTCATTTGGTACTAAATTTTCTGTTGACACCAAGGAAGACCTTGGCACCAAAACGAAATCATTTTGTTCAATCGGATGTCGGTAGTAGTCCAGGAATGAAATCAGATCTGCAGCGCATTGTTCTTGGACATTTTCCCTCTGGGGTATCTTGCTTTCCGGTGATTCGAAGCTCACTAGGAATTTCTTTGATGTAAGCTGTTCAAAAAGGGCACAAAATATTTGCACTTGGTATACAATGAAGCATGATGTACTTTAGATCCAAAGGGTTTGATGAGTTTGTGAGTCCGTTAAAATCAATCAGTCATACTTAAATGTACACTGAATTTGCACTGATATTTGGAAATAGCTTTCTTTCTGTATGAACTTCATAATCACTTCTATTTTCGAGGTAATATCATTGGCCAAGAAGACGATGTGAACACCCAAAGTGGTTATACTAGTAGAAACAATGGCAAATAATAATTATCGACTGGAGAGCAATTAATTTGCCGTCAACTAAATTACAAGATCATGTGGAACTCTTTCTGATTATTATGTGCAAAATACACCGATGCAAAAGGGGGCAACGAAACATGGTTTGCCAACCAGAAGGTATTTGCTTACTACTTTACATAGCGGTCAAGCAACACCGTCCATCAGAAATTGGGAACAAATTAGGGAAATACTAAACTTGAGGCATTTTTTCTGGTTAAATTGAATATTTCCCCCTTTATTTTATACTAACTCACAACCAAAAGGTCTGTGTGATGTAATGGAGGTTTCACTTCTTTGGATTTCTTTCATTATTCATATATGCAAGGTACATTTTGCGCAGTTTGTATGGAACAATACCGAGTAGTCTTTTCTTCCTATTTGAAAATGATTGGCAGTGCACAATATCCCTGTCCCTGCCAGGATTCTCACCACGAACCTGAGGAATGAGTGCTAAAACGCTAACCACAACCTATCTTAGTTCGAGATATCGTATTGAAGATCAGTTTTACTTCGTGTGGTCATGCGCTCAGACGGTTGACCGACAACCGTGTAGTTTGCGGGATATATTTTCGATTCCTAACTCGAAGGTTCACAGCGCAAGTGATAATTGTAGGCCTTCACACGACCTTTGTAAATACATCAGTTGGAGTTGGTTTTCTTAATTTATAACAGTGTATACAAAGCTAACCAAACCATGCGGCCTGGCACCTGATGTGTTGAATATATTAATCAATTACTTCTCACATAGGACGTAATTCACTTTCTACAATGGTAATTCTTCTCCCTGCTGGATGTGAACTCTGAAGTTTTTCAGGATGCTATTTTTTCTCCATTTACTTTTTCGATGTACATTAACAACTTTTCCATTCCTCCCAACTTTATCGTGTGCAGGTATGCTGATGACGTGTTAGGTGGTTGTTCCTTGACTGATTCTGACAGTTTCCGCTAACTTTCAGACTGTCTAAATCAAATGTTTGGTTAAATTCAAGCCAAGTATATGTTGTATGCACCCAAACGAGTGAATATTCAGCAGTCAAGTAGTCAAAGTAGAACTAATAAGCAAACAAAATTACACCGGAATTGTGGAAAGTATGAACAAAACAAAACAATTTGCGATATGAGTGAGTTTAGTTCGGAAACGAAGTGTCCTCTATGAGTAAGAAAACGGGCGAGATGAGGGGGCATCATAGAAGGCCAGTAGGCATTTATGAGAGAACATATATAGTTATAGCGGGATAGGATCGAAGAATAGGACACACACTATGAGGTATGTTTGTAACGGATGCGAATAGTTGTTTATGATTTATATGGATAACGAAAGACATGAATTTTTTATGTTTCGAAAAGATGAAGTGACAGAAATGCAGGGGAAATTCCGATGAACCTGAAAAGAGAAATAAAGTACTTCTCTAACATCCCTGAGAAGATTGCAGGGAACCAGTATAGTCAAAGGGACAATATGCAAGCAAAACAAAAATGGTGGATCAAGAAGCGTCGAACGGAAAGAGCTTTCAGGCTTAGGATCTAATTGAATTTCTTTCCTTTTCAATAACTGAAATAACTTGTTCAGTCCAGCATGCACTTTGGCGGATTAGCACACTGAGATACCCAACATTTACGGTTTGGATAATAGTATCTTCACGTATGCTTATCGTGGGACAGTATTCTAAGCGATGTACATGGCGCCTCCTTTTAAGGAGTGAGAACATTATTCAGGGGGATTGGAAGTTATGGGCAGTGTATCACTCAGCAAGATTAGAAAGGCCAAATTGAATGGTAGAGGTGATAGGTGCATGACGGTGGACAATTCTGACCGCAAATTTTGAACATTTAATAAGCAAAGAATTTCTAAAAGTGGGCACGAATGAAATATAAATAGAAAAGAAAACTGGGACCAGAATGATACCCTGTAGTACATCTAGTGTAGAGTTCAGGGAACAACCAATGAAACGTGTGATCGATTTGTGAAATATCCTGTGAGTAATTCATGTATGATGTGCGATATTCCGTGGAGGACAACATATTCAACAACTTATATCTGACAACACAAATGACGGCGTTGTTGTAATCCTAGAAATATGCTGACAGCTTCATTATTTCCATCGATTACTGAGAGAATATAGTAAACCTGAGAATCTAGGGAATCTAGTGTGGAGCGATAGCAGCGGCACACAAATTGGTTAGGGTACCGCACACCCCGCTGAAATGGTATTCCTTGGAGGATCAACTTCTCAAATAGCTTCCACACAACAGCCGTACATGGAATGGGACGGAACTTTGAGCTTCCTTGGCTAGGCACCGGAGTGATGGAATGGTATAATGCCGGTTCCGAAACATTGGTTAAACAGAACTGTTAGTATTGATGAAGATGTGCGAGTGCCTTCCTTGAGGATGGTAGCATCCAACCAGTCGGGATCGGATTATTTATTGGGTTTGTGATTTAGCAACTTTTTTGGAACATCCTCTTGTTTAATAATGAATTATTTTGTACCTTTGAGGTCGATGTCTGTTTTGTCGATGGTCGGTTTCGTCTCCCTGTTACTGAATCCTTCATAAATGGTCTATCTAGCTCCTCAATGTCTATTGTTGGTTGAGAAACGATCGACGTTTGATCACCAAATTTCTCGATGGTACTTTAGTTCTACCGGCAGATGTTTTGTGTACGAGAGTGCGAGCATAGATGCCGTTCGGTCGATGTAGCTCACGTTTAATAGCAGGTGATAAGGGTTTTGCCCTCTAAAGATATATGCGTTTGTATGATCTTTCGTGGCCACGACTTTGTTCTACTACAGAATATTTGATGCTCAATGTCAATAAATGTTTAGATGTTCCTTTCAGCCTCAACACAATCACTTAACACCAAAACTTTTTTATTAATTAGTATAAAATTTCTGTTAACGGTAACATCATCCCTTAGGCTGAATCTGTTAAATATCTTGGAGTAACTTTGTGGCATAACCTTTGTTGATCTAAGCACGTTGAAAACATTTACATATGGGTTCCTGGATTATCCTTCTGCGCTCTAAGACTTGAAACGCTCAACGTTCTCCTAAATGTAAGTCCTAAATTTGTGGCATTCTGCATTTTTCCACACTAGTTGTACTGGCCCCAGTACTTTCTAAAGGAGAAAGAAAGACTCATCTCTTTTCCAGACCTCATACACTTCTTTTCCGTTGCAGTGGCATATCCAAGACCGTTTTGGTTGATTTCATTTTGTACAAGCATTTTGATTCATTTGACATTGATCAGCCATACACTGCCAAACGAAGAGTTCTACGTGCAAGCCCATCTCATTATATCTGTCGTATTGAAGCACGCGTTCTAAAGTTAGGATGCATTGTGCACGTTTCACCATATACCCAAACAGCATCATCCTTTATTTTTCTCGTATCTTAGTAAACCGTAAAACTGTCATAACTGACTTGAAAAATCACCTGTCGCATTAGCTCTTTATCACATGCGTTTATTTTGCATTTGGCAAATAAAAATTGCTTTTCACTGTTTAGCGTTTATTCACTGTAACTTGTCGGAAGTACTGGAAATCCAACGTATTGGGTTCATAAAGCTTAATATGACTGGACCAATAACCAGAACAGTGAGAAGCACATTGTTAAAATGGTTATTTGAAAATCTTCTCAAACCCAAACCGTTGTTTAATCAAGGTATCAAGTCATCACATTATTTGCTTTGAAAAGTGATACAAATTTAACGTGCGGACTTGATAATTTGTGTGAAGAGCCGATCGTTTATCATTCTTAGTTAATTTGAAAAGTCCATGTTCAGAATTATTCTTCATTGTTTACTTTACCTCTTCCGACTTTACTCCTTGGTAATATTGTGCTTCATCTTTGTTTGGCAACCGAGAAATATAGAACAATTCAAACAAAATTTACATTCTGAAATTTGGATTAATTGGTAAAAAATAACATATAACACTAAAACACTCTAGCAGCATAATAAACATTAAATATTCAAACATTTATTGATGCTTTTCTCACTAACAGGACCAGTTTCCTCAATGAAACACCTTTACTCAAAGCGATTTTATCATATAGAGAACTGTATTACGGGTAAATATTCCCACTGAGAACACTTTGGTAACTTGCTGCATGCATTCACGCACAATCCTCAGTTCACTCTATAAACCCTGCACTGGACAAGCGGGGGCACCGGGTGTCGCTCTTTGCAGCAGCATTACGGGTTAATCTTCTGACTCAAAATCTGAACCCAGAACCCATTGCATGTGATGCGTTGTGCCAACAACTATGCGGAAAAGAATTTATTATTCAGTTCGGTTCAGATACCTTTCTCAGATATCGTGAATCAGTTTACTATGCACCACGGGCAATAGAATAAAATCTAGTCAAACAGGTTTAATTGGGACACATCTGCCTGGATCTACATGCTGAACCTATTTCGATGCAAATGAATTAACAAACCTAATGGAAAGTCAACTGAGTCTTTTTTTCCCGGCTGTCGCACTTAACTAAACTGACTAACTGTTTCTAATAACAGGATCTGAACAAATAAATATTTCCCGGCCCGCAACATTATTCACAAGTAACTGAGTGAATGTGATTCTGTCTTGTTTACTGTTATTCACACAGCACACAGCCAAGTTTAGATTTCGAAACCGCGATCTCAGAGACAGAACCAGTGTCAATTTCATTTGAAAAAAGCTGATAGAATACAACCAAGTAAAGAATAACCTTTGCCTTAATTATCTTTCAATAATGCGTCATCCGGTTATCTTCACTCAGTATAGGATAACGATCAAATCTTCACGAATTCCTCGTGTGTAGATATGTCAACAGCATGCTGAAACCGTACGTATCTCGTTAGTCCGTTTGGTATTCAGCTTGTATAAATAGTCTCACCTGTGAAAGAACTGTGGCCAAAAACAGAGAGCCACCCTTGGATTGATTTGGTGCCAGAACCCTTCTCCCTAGTAGGAGTGTCCCAGCTGATGGCGCGTAACGAGGATCATCTTTCCACCAATCAAATTCAGATCGACCATGAATGAATACCCTAGAAATGAATTTGTATTAAAAAGATAGGACTTAAATATTAGACGGAGAGAGAGAAATCATCGGAATCTTATGTATTTGGTTCATCCGATTAACCAGAAACTCAACACTGCAAGTAAAAAGATAAGATATTACGTACGCGTAATGAACCCAAAAGCGCTCCATTGAACTTCCGTTTACAAACGGTCATCGCTGACTAATAATCTCCGATACTTCGTCGGTTACAGCAAAATTGGCGATTGTAACCTGTAAAACATCAATGCGACGTTATGGTACTTCAATACGTAAAATTACCGTTTCCTAATCGGTTTCGATGTAAGTGGGTTCGTATTCTTTCTACATAAACTTTTAAAATTAAAGTGTTCTCGAGTAATCAACAGCACATGTAGATTATACGGAAAATGTACTTTAACATCATTTTCAGACGAGCAACTGGTTTGCGTGTCTTACCTCAAATGTTTGACAATATTGTCACTTAAATGCTCTCTTGGCTCTAACCTCCTTTGCTCTTTATTCGTGCAAATTATTGGTCGCACGTATGTCCATCAGACTGCATTATTTTAGTCAGCTTTTACAAACCATTAATGCGCTTACTCAAAAAACAAATGTATCTTTCTAAGTTCTTCTTTCAAATATTTTTTCGGGTGCACACCTACCGCGCTGTTTGATAGCGACTGTGTGGCATCGGCTCCGAATGTGTGCAGGATTGACTTGAACAACGACTTGTTCGACATTCACCTGAATTGCACACACAACATTCCGGATCGAAAAGACATGTTGCTCCCCGTTGGTGATGATGCATTGTGTCCGGTATCGACTTGTGGCTAGTCGTTATCACATTGTCGTCTCTGTATTGCTCCACGTCTGTAGTGGGTAAATCACTGGCGAAGCCAGAAGTAGTCGTACATGCAGACCGGTTATCGGTTTGGCTGGTGGATGGGATGTGAGTGAGGCTTTTTCTACCAATACTCAGTGCATTGGAATGTATTTCTAGGAGAAGAAATTCGTAAAATTGGATCTGAAAAACCGGATTGAAAACCTTCATGTTTCATATCACGCTAAGGGGATATACCGAGGGAAGCTAAATTCCGAATCGAGGCTACTTGAAACAAATGAATGAAACTGATGTGCAATCTTAAAAAGAATGTTTTACCACTATCCTTTTCACAAAAAACATGAACATTTTATTTATTATCATAGGGATCATTCGAGAAATACGCAACATTAAATGGTCCATAAAATGAGATGATTTAATTCTTTGCTTGTATTAATCGTTTCGCACTTATTAATTCATTGGTGTTTATTTCTTAGTCAGGCAGCTCTGGTGGTGTAGCATACGCAAGCGGCGTCGATACATGGGTTTGAATCCCACAGAGGTTGCAATTCAAATACGAAACGGTTATCTTCCGTAATTTACCCCAAAACATAATTGATTTATTTTATCTATGTAAATTTTACAGAGACCCCAATCTGGTTGTGGTTCGCTTGTATTTACCTGGCTCCGTAACAGTGTGCCGATTCCCCTTATATTGATGTCTTTAAATGCAATGAAACACAATAAGCAAATCCTGGAAGTGATACTAGTCGCAACCGCCATTGGTCATTGCAGTTTATAGTCCTGTTCAAACGCCGTATAATCCGATGAACTAGACACCGGTCCCAATGGATTGCAGTTTTCGCACACTGACTTGCTGTTTTGCGGGTATCAAGCTTTGGCTTGTCCAAGGCTCCATTTGTGAACTCCCAAGACAATTCACTCATAGAGTCTGGGCAAACTGACAGTATTTCGCCCATTGGCCAATCATAGAACGTTTTGTTTTATAAAGATTACTGTTATGTAGTTTGTTTGACACAGTCTGGACTCAGGTGTGTGTGAAATATATGTGTATATCTTAATTTATGAGAGTGCATGAAGAATACACGAAAAATGGTATATTGGTTTTCTGGTCATCAGGAAGTACAAATGATTTTGATGATAATTACAGGCTAAGATCAACTAAGATGTAAAATAGGGTAGTAATAGTTGTTAAATAGTTCACATTTACTGAATGATTCCGTATTTTAAACGCTTACTGGAGCGCCTTAACTTACTGACTTTCAGGAGTTCGATGAATACATACCATCAGTTTCCCATTTGAATATATTGATCTCTATAATATTTTCTTTTTTAACATCTGATAATTTCTCTCAGACTCAAAATGAAGGCATGCGCACGAATAGAACTAAGGCAGCTTGTGCATTTACTCACAGCAAATGGATTAGACCTTTTGTTGCCCGAGTGATAACCGTCGGAATAGTGGGTACATTTAGGTCAGTTCTTCTTCATGTGCCCTTGAAGTAATATCCGTAAATAAACCTCCGCCGGTGTTCCAGACACGCATAAGCACGGAATCCAATTGGCTGTGGCTGCATGCAATACAAAGCAATCTCTACTATGTCTTCTAGTATCTACTCTTTATCAAATAAATGAGTGTACATATAGCATACACTAAAGGGATAGTGGCCGTTAAAAGAGCTGCGTTTGGTCACAAACGAAGGGAAAGTTAAGCTGTGGTGGCGTTCCAAGAAGCGATCTCCTGGAGCAAATTGACGGCTAGCAACTTTGCCTTACCGCTGCCCAAATCGCCGTTGAGGATTAACTGCAACTGAATTGTTGGACAGCGCTACAAAAATAATATATCGTTGTTACTCTGTCCAAGGATTTATATATATCGGGGAGTCAAAGGCTTGTGAACTATTGATGGAATAAGCTCTTATAGAAATGTAATTCAGACTGGTTGATTGGCATATCCAGCCACTTGTTTCACTGAATTGAACTTTCTGTATAAACTGAACTGGTGCAAAAATTATTTATAAGTCTTGTTTGCAATAGGATGTTTGAAGGTATTTATGACCAACTGCCATTCAGAGCAATCAGCGTGGCTACCCCGTTCTTCGGGTAAACGCCATGGAGCTGGAGTTTCATGCTAAATGAAAAAGTGGATTATCAAACGTTCATAACAGACAAAGCAAGTAAACTTGATCACAAAATGCAAGTCAGTTTACAATCCATCAGGTTCCCTTTTGCGGTCGTTACGATCTAATACGTCAATTCAACCGCCTTATAACATTGAACAGTGGACAAATTAATTGAATAAGCCTTCACGTATTAACTTCTTTAGAACTTATGGAATTTCACTGGCTTCAGGCCTTGTGGACTATTTTAATTTTGTAACTATCTCTGATTTGTTCGTCAACTGGATTTCATTCATTTTCTGCAAATGCTACATACTTGTTTCAACGATGCTATACTACAATGATTGACATAATTATTCTGGCATTTCTGGAAGGTTAGCATAGCAAAGAGATCTATGTATCACCTATTTATAAAGACCATCGATAGCATGATAAAGAGGAAATTAATGGGCGGAAACTGTAATCATGTTTTGTGCAGTGCTTTGTAAGCATTGGAAGACAGTTTCCGTGGACGATTACACCATGACTAGATGTAAGCGATAGGAGTAAAGCACAGCATAATGTAAGGTGAAGCAGTATATATTCTATGATCTCAACCTGGGGAAGGAAAATTACTGGTTGCCAAATTGGGAATTTGTAAATGAAGTAAAACCTAAACTCTTTCAAGAGTAACATGAGAATAGCTTAATATTGTTCTTACTCTTTTCTAGTCGACTATCCAACGCATCGGTTTCTATTGTAGCATCTTTTTTTGTTACTATCGGACGTTCTCGAGTTTGATTCAACCACGTATTCATAATGTAAGTAAAACACACTTCCGGATTTCCGTACAAATGAGCCGGTATTCGGGGACACCAAAAATCGGGAGAGATCTGAATCAAAGCCCCATTGTACGTCACCCGGACAAGTCGGAGGGAACTATTGGAACAACAAGTGAGTGATGTTAGTTTTGCCATCAACTGGATTGCTTCAACGTTCACCGTGGACTCCTCTGTCAGCAGGATGCAATGCAGCGGTCTTCCGTTACAAATTCTTGGCAGATGAACAAATAGTTGCGGGCTTTCCTGTAAATAATCAGTTAGGAAGGCTGGTTTTTGTTTCCACATACCGTTGATGTTAGACCATCTGTGACGAGATAGACACATTTGTTTGATACGAACCCAAATGAGGCCATCAATGCGGGCAATAAGTAGCTAGTCGAGCCGTGACACATAAGTTGAAACCATTTTCTCAACTCAAATATAGACTGAGATGAAATTCGGGACATTTTGCTTCGAAAATTTTCAACCTGTTAAGGTGATAAGGGAATAGGATGAAACAGATACGCCTACTTGATCATCGAAGGCTATAACATTAAACTTTGCCATCTTGTCGCGTAATGCCATTTTGCAGAGATGTTCAACCAAATGTGTGCACACAATATCCCATAGTTTATAAATGCTTCCTGATTTATCGATACAAAATACTGCACTTGTTTCCTTTGCTTCCCCAAACAGAGTCTGCCTTCGACAAACTTTTTTCATTGCGTAACTTTAGTTAATTTCTGAAAAGAGAAGAATAAATATAAACGTTGTACGGAAAATTCTAGTAGCGATCCACTCAACAAAATTTCTTGTGAATTGAAAGTTCGAATGAGTACTAATCAAGTTAACTTGGATACCATCAATAATTGTCTATAGTCTGAATTCATACCACTATCTTATTAAACCACATCGATCTTGCCGACTGCTTTCAGTTACTCACAAAGAGTTTACTTGAAAACCTTTCACATTCCGTCCAAAATGTGAGGGAGAAACCGGAGATTAATACCAAAGGTCTACCATATATTGTTGTCAAACAATCCATACAACTTTAAGTTACTCTCAGAAAGCGGCTCTGCAATTTGATGTAAAAGTTTTCCAACCATCACGAATAATCTCTGTAATTTTCAGAAGAATTTTCACAGACCTGGTGTGCAAATGCTATTAAAAATAATATTTGCCGCATGGAAGTCCCTCTGCTTTTTACTCCAAAAATACTGGTTTCTCAACTGCTCGAACAAACTGGATGAAGTTAGTTTTATTAATCATTTGTACCATTTTTGTGCCTAAACATTTACATCAACTTTTCTATTTCATCATGGGTAAACGTGCTTTTTGTTCACATTTGCTCTTCTTGCATTCACTTGTTATGATTGCAGCCTTAGTCTCCCTGTCCTCTCTTTGACTCTGCTCTTAAAATTCCAATCTTCTAACTGCCCTTTTATCCAAATGGATAGTCAGGAGACAGCAAACATAACCACCACATGAAACTGTATTGTTAACGGTTGTATAAACTGAGCAAAACTACTTTCAGCTGTTTTTCTAATATATTTTCATTAAAATTCCAAATTATTTAATTAACTTTCGCATTTCCGATTTTTATTTGGTTGCGGTTATATTTTCAAATATAGATATGAAATTGCACATATGATTGGAGGTAATCTAGAAATCTTGTCATGGTGTACATTTACTGCTTTTAGGTCCATACAAATGATAGCATTGAGTTTAGTACGCAAGTGTTCAAATGCAGTAAATTTATTCAGAGAAAGCGGTGCAAGTCGATGTTCTTAACTTTTTTTCTCCAACTTTTCCTCTTAATAAATGCATAGGGGCCCAATCCTAGTATGATAAAAGTGCCAAAATAGCGGTGACTTGTGATCATTCAGCTAGATGTTTGCAACTCACAACATATCTTTGTGCCTTTATTTTTTTAACGACGGAGGGGTTGAGCAGAATTAGATACTCTGTTTGCAAGGCAA